TGTAAAAAGGGGCTAATTGCAGGGGCATTTTTGTCCAAAAAGTCGCCAAGTGTCAAGCCCACAACTGCTCATAAATATGGCATTACATGTAAATACAACTAAAAGTGAGGGCCATTTACAATGTGATAAAATGGACACATGTCAACATTCTAACTCCTTATACTTTTTCTTATATGTATAAGGGAGATAAGGGATATATATATATATATATATATAGATATATAGACTCATGGGAGCAAGATGTTTTGTTTTCAATTTGTTAAACAACCAATTAAATAATGATGGCATCAATTAGTTAAGAAATGATTGAATTTTGGTTGAGAAATGGCTGTACTAACCATTGACTTGATTAACAAATTCATGTATTGGTTGTCCAAATAATTGTACACTCATATTTTTTTTTCAACATAATATTATTCCAATTAATTGCTACAGAAAAAAAAAAAAAAAATCGTTAACTACTTATGTTTGATGGTTAAATTGTGATTATTTAATATCATCAAAACAGTAAATCGGATTACATTTGTTTTATGTTTTGGTTAAATTAACAGTGCGGCAAAAAAAACAGTGCGCACGGCAAGAAAGAAAGAGTGGAGGGCAAAATTAAAAGAAATGGTGGAATTATTGTAGCAAGTATAAAAATATTTTCTAATTAAGACTGATTAAGTTAGTTATGTATTATTGTAGCCAAATTTATTATTTTATCTAACTAATTTAAGTATTTTATTTGCTAATATTTAGCTAAGCGTACTTAATTAACTATTATTTTTAAATTTAAACTAATATTTTTTTTAATCCTAACTGGTTCGGTTTGGTTTTACCGAACCTTTATGAGTTTGAAATCGTTACAATTCAGTAAACCGATAATTGGTTACTGTTACAAACGAGTCAGATCGGTTCGGTTTATTTTCTCATTGGTTCACTTTTCGGTTTTTGGTAAAAAAAATTACCAGCCCTAGTAAAAAATACAGATTTATATATGATTTTTTTATATATATATTTTTAATATATATTTTTTTAATTTATTCATGTAAACTGAAAGTTATATACTCAATTTTTAACATGTTTACAATGTTATTATAATTTAACTAATTTCAAGTATTGTATACATTATTTATATTGTAATAACAGATTAACTTAATATTTATTGAAACTAGTAAAATAGACGATCGAACCAGTTGAACGACGTATTCGTGGCTCATCTAATATGATTACCGATACGATAGTTAAACACTGATTAGAAGTTGACTTAGAATAGGATTCTTCCCATATATACATGTCTATTTGGAGTAGGATTCTTATTAAATCCCATCTATATAAATCCAAGGCAAGCTTTATTTTTCCATCACGGGAAAGCTTTTATTATCTTCATTGAAGGATTATGTGAGAAATTGATCGCTCGCCACTTTGACAAGGTACTCATCGTAACTCTTATTTTATTTGTTTAGTTCTTAAATTATCAAAGCTTAGATTAATTATCGCTCACAAATTCACATGCAGCATGTAATTATAATTAGGTTATTAAGTTTATTAACAAAACCCTTTTCAGTTGGTATTAGTTGATTTATAATATCTTATGATAATTGTTTATAGAGTTCTAATTCAGCAAACTCAAACCTTTGCCCTTATGTTTTTTTTTTTTTTTTTTTTTTTTGTGTGTGTGTGTGTGTGGGGAATCGAACGCAAATTCCAAATACAAATTCACAACATTACACTTGTATGCGAGTGTGATTTTAAGAAACAAAATAAAGCATTGCCTTCACCAATTTGCCAATTTTCTTTGAGCCTTTAGATTGCAAAGACATGTTGACACGCACTTGCAACACACTTGTGCAAGTGCGTGTTGATTTGATGGTTCGGATCCAAATGTGAGCACTAGACACGAAGCACTTGTGATACCATTGAAGCATTATTGTTTTAAATTTTTTTATGTTCCTTTGGTATTTCGAGTGAAATTACGAGACTTTGTGATATTTGGTATTCCTTAAGATTTTCACAAAAAATCTTAAGATTGGAGATGAGATTTTATGATTTTTTTTTTTTAATTTATTTTGAAATCCAACAAATCTTAAAAAGTTTTCACTAATCACAGTCTCAAATAAGTTAAATACAAAGCTTTTAAAAATCTCAAATAAATACTTTTATAAAAGTCTTAATCTCTAAAAGTTAAATACACCAAAATGTCTAAACTTTTAATTAAAAATCTTTGTGCTAAAATATTTTGTATTAAAAAAATCTTGATAAACTCTCCAATTAAATAGACAAGAATTTGTGGAATTTTAGGAAACATAATCCTCAACTTTTAAAAAGTTTTTAACCAATACACCCCTAAAAGGTTAGAGTAGACTATGGCTAGATGAAAATAATCACCATCACATGAAAAACAAAGTTCAAGAAGGATAATCAAATCCATTCTAGAATTTTGTGTCCCAACTCCCCCAAAGAATTAAAAATTATTATTTCTTCTATAAAAAAAAAAAAACTATATATATGTTATTTTACTTTTCACTTTCAAACTCCATATATGTTAACTTTCTTAGCCACCAATTAAAAGATTTTTTAGAATATTTTTTCCAATAGTAATCATTTTGTGCATCAATTTCAAAATCCTTATATCACTCCAAATAATGCAAAAAATTTAAAAATAAACAAAAAAAAAATAAAAAAGAAAAAAAATCTGCTAATCATTAAAACGTAGTGTTTCTGACAGCTCCATCGCCGGTTAGTTCTCTCCAATTGCTCCCTTTCTCCGCCGCAGAAAGGGCCCAAAAAAAGCCCTAATTCCTCACACAGTCACACACACACTATCCCCACTCGCGTGCTTTCGCACGGCGGCCCTGAGTTTCGCCGGCAGTTTTCCGCTGGATGTGCCTCGCACAGCTTCGGCGGTGTTATTTTAGCTTGCGTTCTCTGAGTGTGTTCCCTGTAGGGCGGAAAAAATGGAGAAGCTTCTGGACGATTTGAGCGAGCGAACCAATGTCGCGGAGAACGTGGTGAAACTTCTCCGGCGGAGCTTCTCGGAGATCGAGTCCAGGCAGAGGAATCTGGACTTGGCCCGAGAGTCGGTGGTGGAGAGGATGATGGAGATCGAGTTCCTCAGGGAGTCGTACGACAAGGGGCTCAAGGACTTGGAGGCGAGGGAGTCGGATTTTCGCGCGTTCAGGGAGGGGAAGAAGAGGAAGCTGGCCTTAGAGGAGGAGGAACTTGGCGCGAGGAGGGAGGAGCTTCTGAGTGGCGTCAGAATGAAGGAGGAGGAGTTGGACGGGCAGCTGAAGGCGTTGCGGGTGCAAATCGAGCGGCTCGAGGCGGAGAAAAAGTCCATGCAGCGGCGGACGTGCGAGAGGTTGAAGGAGATTAAGGCTCAGGAAAAGAGTTTTAGTTCGGCCCAGCAGGCGTTGGCTGAGAGGGAGAGGAAACTCGAGCAAATTGTGGGAACCCTCGATGATCGGATATGCGCGGTAGAGAAGAAGGAGAGCGAATTGAATCGGGATGTGGAGAGGAGGATGAGAGAGGTGACGTTGAAAGAGGAACAGCTGAGCTTGAAATGGCAGGAGTTTGTTAAGGAGGTTAGATTGGTTGATGAAAAGTTTATGGAGCAAGAGAAGGTAAAGATTGGCCTTTGTGAGAGGCTGGGGTTGGCTGAGAATAAGGTGGAGGATTTTATGGTAAAAATTGATGAGAGGTTCAACGAGATGGAAAATCGTGAGAGTGTGGTTTGGGAATCAGTTGCAGAGAGTGTGAAACATGCCGATTTAATTAGGGAACTACTGGAGAGAGAGTTGACAGAGTTTGAGGAGATGAGGAGAGCATTTTATTCATTCCAAGAGGACAAAACGCGCGAGTTGGTCTTGAAAGAGGAGCAACTGAACACGATGAGTCGGGAGCTCGCTAAGGATGCCGAGTTGAGGAATGGACAATTGACTAGACAGGGGAGATTAGAGAACCAGCTCTTGGAAAGGTTGGAGTCGAGCCAGGACAAAATCGAGGGCTTCAAAGAAAATGTTGATGACAAGTTGAAAGAAACTCATTCAATGGACATTGAGCTTAAATCAACGAATGATTGGGGTGGGAGGAAAATGGACGAGGGGGGCTCTAAAGAAATGGAGATGAAAGATTTTGGGATGATGAAAAAAGAATTTATGTTGTTCCAAGAGGACAAAATGCTTGGATTGGTTTGGATGGAGAACCAGTTGAATGCCATGAGTGAAGAGCTCGTTAGAGATGCCAAGTTGAGGGACGAACAATTGACTGATCAAGAGAAGCTGGGGAATCAGCTTCTGGAAAGATTAGAGTCAGTGCATCATAAAGTTGAGGATTTGAGAAACGCCCTTCAAGTGAAGATGAAAGAAGTCAGCTTAAAGGAAACTGAGGTTAACTCGACTTGTCATTGGGTTGAGCAGAAAATGGATGATATAGATTCCAAAAGAATGAAGCTGAAAGAAAAGAAGAAGAGACTCTTGACAGAAGAGAAAAATTTGATTCGTAAGGAAAACAAACTTTTAGAAAAGCAAGAGGAACTCAAAATGGAGAGAAAGAATCTCGAGTCCTGGCAAAGGGAACTCGAAGTTAAATGGGGGGAAGTTAATTCAGTCGGAGAATCAAACAAAAATCTTTCGAAAGTGCTTGATCGCCGGGAAAAGGCCCTTGATTCTGTGAAACAATTTATCCGTAATTGTTTCAGGGAATATCAAACCATAAAGAAAAAATTGCTCCTCGAAAAGGATTTGGTCGAGAAGCGTGCTAGAGATCTTGACCTAAACGATTCAGCAGACATAAAGTTTATCTTGAGAATGGACGGAAAAACTCTGCAAATGTTCCTAAACGACCCCGAAAAAGATTTGGAATCCATGGGTGATGAAGTTTTTAAAGTTCTCCATTTATCATCTGATCCTGCTAAGTTGGTTTTAGATGCAATGGTCGGTTTTTACCCTCCTCATTTGAGGAAAGGGGACGTGGAGGTCAATGTAAGGAGAGCCTGCATTATTCTGTTAGAACAGTTGTTTAGGATGTCTAAGAAAATCCAGCCCTGCACTAGGAAAGAAGCAATCGACCTTGCCTGCTCATGGAAATCAAAGATTAGGGCGAACAGCGAGAACCCTTTGGAGGTGTTGGGATTCTTGCATTTGTTGGCTGCTTATGATGTTACTTCCTGTTTTGACAAGAATGAGATTCTTAGTTTCCTGATGATGGTTGACAAGCATAGACAGAGCACTCAGTTGTATCACGTGCTTGGTTTTCACCGAAGCTTTACAGGTAGTTACTTATCTTAATATATGTGCGTTTCTTGATTTTTAGTTTGCTATGTGGTTAGGTTTCGGTTTGCTATGGCCTATGTTGTTAGTGACTGCATAAACTTTAATTTGGTTTGCTTTCATAGGTTATGCATGAAACAGTTGCTTTTTGTGTCAAGATTCAAGAATAAAATCTGCTAATGACGTATTTCAGTAGGTTGATGTTCATAAGTTCTCCATTATAGTTTTTGTTACTACCTTTAGGTAAGCTTTTCTGTCTAGTGATAAATAATTAAACATTACTAGTGAATGAATTTCTGGAAATGATGGTTATCTCGATAACTTAATTGTCTATCCTTCTCTAAGTTTTCTTGATGCATCCAGTATTTAAGAAGACAATGGAACTGTTAGGGGGTAGCTAGTGATTAGTGTGAGATATTGTCATTGGAAAATTAGTTTATTCTCCTCTACATACCAGTTCAGTTATAAAACTGGTCAATTGCAGATGGACTTTTGAGGTCACTAACATACCCTACCGAATTCTCGAGTATCTTGAGCTTATAATATTGATCTGGAGCTAGCTTAACAAATTGTGAAGCTTAAAAGTATTTTATCATATTTTATTATATTGTTGAAATTATCTCTTTCTCTCTTTTTCCTTTTTTAAGAAAAAGAGTACACACTAGAAGATGAGAATCATTATGTTTTTTCTCTTTTTTTTAGGAGTTTGCATATTTACATTCTCCACTGCTCCAACTAACATCAGTTTCTGAGTTTCTGATGCACAGATTAAATAGTCGAGGGAAGAGAGCCGAAGAAATACGTGATCTGATGCGAACAAAGGTTGCTACCAAAGGCTTTCAACTGCAAAGAATGCTGCAGTTGAAGGATATTCCCACTCATCTATCTACCCAGGAAAGAAGACCAAAGAAAACTGTGGTACAATTATGCATTTTGTAAATATTTTTAAAGAAGCTTTTAACTAAAAAAATATGAACTGAAGTCCATTCTCCTCTAATCAGGACTATCATTATGATGAAGTAATGAAAATGGGTGTGTCTAAATATTGACTTAAAAATGAAATCTGAAATTTAAATTGCCTCTTATTATTATAATAAGATTGGGGTCAGGGAAGAAGAAAAGGGGAGAAATAGTACCAGAACTGTGATCTATAACTTTGAACTTAAAGGTGTCACTGAATTTCAAATACTTATTGAGAACCCAAAAGTTTATTACATCACCTAATTCTAATTAATGGGAAAATGCAAAGGTCCCGTTACGGAACCATTCCTTTGGGTTTTGTAACCATTAGATCATCATGTAACCGTCAGAGATAGTTGATCTAACAGTTATAAACCTCGACGGAATAGTTTCGTAACGGGATCGTAGCATCTTCCCTAATTGTTAAATGTGTTGCT